GCGGGTGCCTGTGGTCCCAGCTACTTGGGAGGTGGAGACAGGAGACTTACTTGAGCCTAGGAGTTGGAGGTTGCTGTGAACTATGATGCCACAGTATTTTACCCAGGGGGACAGCTTGAGGCTCTGTCTCAAAAAAGAAAAAAAGAAAGAAAATTATAATGTATATGAACATTTAAAGTTTTTCAAAAAACCTGCAGTAGAGAAACTTTTTAACTTGATTTAATCTAGTGGTTTTCAAATTTATTTGATCTTAGAATCCATTACATCAGCCTGGCACAGTGGTTCTTGCCTGTAATCCTAGCATGCTGGGAGGCTGAGGTGGATAGATTGCCTGAGCTCAGCAGTTTGAGACCCGACTGAGCAAGAGAGAGACCCCATCTCTACTAAAAGAAAAACTAGTTGGGCATTATTACTGGTGCCTGTAGTTCCAGCTACTTGGGAGGCTGAGGCAAGAGGATTGCTTGAGCCCAAGAGTTTGAGGTTGTTGTGAGCTAAGATGCCACGGCGCTCTCTTCCCATGGCAACAGAGTGAGACTCTGTCTCTCCCCCCCCCCCAAAAAAAAATCCATTACATCAGATGAAAGATTTTGTAGTATGTACTTGGGAAATGTTTTATTTGATTTGATAGGTAATAGAATATAGGGGGTAGTGGGAGGAGTTTTGAAAAAAACTAAGGCTTTGATATTTTTATTTAAAGTACAAATCTTTTTTTTTCTGATTATAAACGTAGTATACACTTTTAAAAATGTAAATGACACATAGTAAAAGAACGTGGACATCATTATCGACATCACTCCCCAGAAATAACCATAGACAATGGAATGTTAAACCTGAGTGACTATGTGGGAGGCTTAATAAAAATAAAAAGTTACCTCGGGGGCCAGAAAGGGCTCATGGAATTAAGGAGTCTGAGGACATGTTAAGGAGTCTGAGAAGTGGGGAGGGCAGTTGGAAGAGGACAAAGGTAATAAACAGCCTTAACCAGGGTAGGGAGACTAGAAGCTTATGTCTATAGTCCCTGCTACTTAGGATCACTGGAGCCCAGGGGTTTAAGGTTGTAGTGAGCTATCAAGATACCTCTGTGCTTAAGCTCCAGCAACAGAGTAAGACTTTGTTCCCAAAAAAAGAAGAGAGAAATAGAAGAAAAGAAAGAAACGTTTGAATTGATCTGAATTAAATTTTGGGGTAGGTTTTTCTGTGTTTTCTTGTTAACTAATAATGTATTTGTTTAGTTTGAAGGAGGAGTTCCCTGCCTGGTATGAGAAACTGGTTCTGGAAATGGTTCACCACAACACAGCCTCCTTAGAGAAGTTAGTAGATACTGCTTGGCTGGAGATCATGACCAAATATGCTGTTGGAGAAGAGTGTGACTTTGAGGTATGTGCTTTTTTTTTTTTCTGTTATTTGACTTATTGTCGTCAGAATTGGAGCTTCCAATGTAGCTTATAGAACACATTTCTGTTGTATTTGAAGTCTGCTTTACTTATTATTGAGGAACCAAATGTTTAATGATGTGACAATTACTATACTGTGTACCAATATGCCTTTGCTTTATCTTTTTGATCTCTTTTTGATAATTCTGTTTTTGGTCTTTTTTGGCTTTGTAGTTTTTTTCTTACTTTGTTTAAAAGACTTTAGGATTTTTTTTTTTTTTTCCCCTTAGATCCAAGAACAGACTGGATCAGATATGTTTAATTCAGGTCTTTGCTATAACTGTAAGAGAACTAACTTTTCTTTTTCTACTTAAATTAGTTTTTACATTTTCTGGTCAAAGTAGGTAAAGGATAATGATTATGAAAGTGATACTTAACATTAACACAATTACTTCATAA